ATTTTCTGTTCAGCTCTTGTACCTCCTCATTTCATCCATTTGCTTTAGCATCTCTACACTGGAAAGCAAGTTTAATAGTCTCTTCTGACATCCATTTTGGTCTTTTCTTTCTTTTTTGTCTCTTAGTAACCTTATACTTTCTTCCTGTGTGATGTTCTTGATATTTTTCCACAACTCTTTTGATATTTGGTCTTTAGTGTCTAATGCATCAAATCTGTTCTTCAGAGATCTCGGAATTCTGGAGGGATATAGTCAAGGTCATATTTTGGCTCTCCTGGACTTGTTTTAATTCTCTTCAGCTTTAGTGTGAACTTGAATATGAGCAATTGATGGTCTGTTCTACAGTCAGCCCCTGGTCTTGTTTGGCTGATGATATGGAGTTTGTCTACCATTTCCTTGCACAGATGTGGTCAATTTGATTTCTGTGTATTCCATTTGGTGGGGTCCATGTGTGTAGTCTTATTTTATATTGTTTTAAAAAGGTATTGGCAATGAAGAAGTTACCGGTCTTGTAAAATTCTATTATGCAATCTCTAACATCATTTCTATCACCAAGACCATATTTTCCAACTATTGATCCTTCCTCTTTATTTCCAATCTTTGCATTCCTATCACCAGTAATTATCAGTATACCTTGATTACATGTTTGATCAAGTTCAGACTGAAGAAGTTGAAAGAATTCTTCAATGTCATCCTCACTGGCTTTAGTGGTTGGTGAGTAAATTTGAATAATAGTGGTATTAACTGGTCTTCTTTGTAGTCATATGGATATTATCCTATCACAGATAGCATTGTGCTTCAAGACAGAACTCGATAGGCTCTTTTTGATGATGAATGTAACACTATTCCTCTACAATTTGTCATTCCCAGCATTTTAAACCTTGTGATTGTCATATTCAATATGTCTAACACCAGTCCATTTCAGCTCACTAACACCTAGGATATAGATGTTTATGCATTCCATTTCATTTTTTACAATTTCCAATTTTCCTAGATTCCTACTTCCTACATTCTGTGTTCTAATTATTAATGGATGTTTGCAGCTGTTTCTCTTCATTTTTAGTTGTGCCCCATCAGCAAATGAAGGTCCTGAAGGCTTTACTCCACTCATGTCATGATGGTCAACTCTACTTGAGGAGGCAGCTCTTCCCCAGTTGCATCTTGAGTGTCTTCCAACCTGAGGAGCTAATTTTCCAGCACTGTATCTGGTAATATTCTGGTACTCTTCATCATGTTTCAGTATTCAAAATTCCAGTGCTGATAGTGTTCCACTGCTATTCATAAGGTCTTTAATAAGTAAATATTCAGAAGTAGCCCATCTCTACTTGCTAGTCTGTCTTTGTCTTGAAGCTCAGCAACACGTAGGCCACCACAGTATGACAAACTGAGAGACAAGTGGTGGAGTTTGCCCATTGTTGTTGTTGTTGTTATGTGCCCATAGAATCCTTCAATATTGTAGGTCAGTAATATATACAATCTCTGAACAAAAATAAGATACTGAATCAACATTTCTAAAGTGGTTACCCTTAACTGTCTTTTGCCTACTCAGAATTTTCACTTCAGTGGTTGGATCAGACCATTAGATCTACACCCCTATTGTATTATATATAACATCAAATACAGTTTCTAGCAAATGGTTAATGAATATCAGTGCATATTTGTTGAATGAATAAAATACTTCAATTCTTTTTTTAAAAAAATAATGGAGAATATCTTTAACATAAAAATTTCTAAGGCATCAGAAAGTGCTACTTGTGACTCACTCTCTGATGCCTTAAACTTTTTTATGCTATAAATTTTCTATTATAATAATAATTTTTAAAAACCTGTGATAATTTATGAGAAATGAAGTTAAAAAGTATTCTGGAATCAGTTAACCAGAAATACCTTCTTTAAAAAACACTTGTCCTGCATGGATGCTTAATGCTTGTCTTATCACAAGCTGCTCTCTAGTGGACAGATTTATATTTTTCTTTCATGGTGCTTATGACTGTATAAAGACTGCACTATTTGTCCTTTCTAAGTATCCTCTGTGTCAAGATATCTTGGTAATTTATTTTGTTGTTTCTTGATTTATAAGTTTTAAAAATATATCTCAGGCTAACTTAAGGAGGAAAATAATTTTTGAAAAGTTAAGTTTAGATTGTATAAAGATGAAGCCACAAGTCTACTATCTTACATTTTATTCATTCAGCAAATATCTATTACATGACTATTATGTTCCTGAAAGTGCTCAAAGACATAAATACACAGATTCAAGAACTTAAGAAAATTCTAAGCACAATAAATGCAATGAAAACTGTAATTAGGAACATGAACACTGAGCAGTTAAAAACAAAGATATAGAGAATATCAATACACAAAGAAGAATTTTTAATTATCACCAACTTCTAAACCAAC